CTCTCCCGGGATGGCTTATCTGGCTGCCAGAGTCATTTGCCGTCTCTAATTCCTGTTTAAATTAAACTTCCCACAAACAGGGGCTTAATGTGCTGTTACCAAGAGTTCCCGGGCCCCTGCAGCTCCGGGAAGCCGAGGGGGCCGGGCGGGGAAGGGACCATTTTGCACACACGCATTGCGCCGCATCCCTGCCCATTCCGTTGGCTGCTGGAGGCCTGAGTGCATGTTCTTGTTGCTCTGTCCAGAACGGTGATGCGTGGGGGCTGGAGGGGGGGGGGCTGGGACTGTGTCCCCCTTCCCCACCCTGGGAAGACAAGAGGACTGAGGGTAGGATATGGGGAGAGGGCATGGGCTCCATTTTCACCACGCATTGGTGGTGCTCACTGCTGGCCAGCACCGCACCTGCAGACCCCGGGACGGTGACCTCACGAGGCCTGGGCCACAACCCTGCCACGGGGGCGGCGCCATCACCAGCTCCGTTCCTGCAGCTGGAGAAACTGAGCACCGGAAGGTTAAGCAGCCTGCCCCAGATCCCACCGCTCGGAAGGGGCTGACCCAGGATTCCAGGATTCCAGCCAGCGATGCGGTCTGAGAAGTAGAATCAGGCGCCCGGAGGGACTGAGGGCCAGAGGCTCCCATGAGCTTGTCCCAGTGGCCGACACAGCCTGGGTCCTCAGCCCTGCCTGGTTTCCTGCCCTGCTGTGCCTTCTTGCAGCACCTCGTGATCTGTTTTCAAGGGAGCCCTTAAGCGCGATTGCCTGCCCTTTAGTGCCAGCCCTCAGGAGGGCGCTGTCTCCCTCCGCCGTGCAAAGCCCCCTTCCTCCAGGGAGCCCTGGAGAAGGGCGGCAACAAAGCTACACTGCAGGGCCCGGCACTGTGGTGCAGCCTGTTAAGCAGCCCCCTGTAGTGCTGGCATCCCATACGGGCGCCAGTTCAAGACCCGGCTGCTCCACTTCCAACCCAGCTCTCTGCTATGGCCTTGGGAAAGCAGTGGAAGATGGCTTAAGTCCTTGGGCCCCTGCACCCACATGGGAGACCTGGGAGAAGCTCCTGGCTTCAGATCAGCACAGCTCTGGCTGTTTTAGCCACCTGGGGAGTGAACCAGCAGATGACCTCTCTCTCTCTCCCCCTCTCAAATAAATAAACCTTTAAAAGATAAATAAATAAAAGTATAGGCAGGATTAAAGAAACCACTGAGGGCTGATGCAGCACCCAAAGAAGCAGAGGCAGGGCTACCAAAGCCTGCTGTGAGCTGGGGTCCTGGGGGATGGGTCCCCCTGCATGGCTGTGGTGATTAAGAAACCAGAGCCACTGCTCGAACTTCAGGCAGGTGAGGGGGGAGGCAAGAGAAACAGACACCTTCCCCCATCCTCTCTCTGCCCCGCCAGGTCATTCAAGGCCTAACCTCACCTCACTCACAGCAAGAGCCCAGGGAGGCAGGTGGCCCAGGGCACCAAGCAGCCTGGGGAGGAGGAGAGAAAGCCAGCCCGGGGAGGGAGGGGGTAGGCCAGGGTCTCACGTGGCAACTGGCAACGCCCCTAGCTTCTGCAGCTCAGGGTGCAGTGGGGATTCAGTCCTCCTTGACCCCTAGCACTGAGCTCCGGGGAGGGGAGCGTGATCAGAAGTGACTGAATAAGTAACCAGGTAAGTAAAGCCTAAAGGGAGGGACAGCCCCCCCACCCCAGCTCACCCTTGGGCACTGCCTCCTCCCCCTGCAGGCACCTGCGTCTGTCTCAGAGCTGGTCAGAGGCCTCGCTTTGAGCGCACCGATCCGATGCACAGGGGCTTCAGCTGGCTCCTCCTGACCGGGGAGTGAGGGAACAGCGCGTTCCTTCATGGCTCACAGCCGCTGCGTCTCTGCGGGAGCCTTGATCCCTGGCGGGCTGTCTGTGGTCTTCCCGGCTGGAGCCCTTGGCAAGCGGCAGGAGAGAGTGTGACAGCGCCAAGGAGGCAGCTGAAGGATCGGCACCCGGGGAGCCACAGCTCTGCCTTGCTTTTTCCAATGGGCCATAAAGACAGGGAGGCCGGGGAAGGGGAGGCGGTGCGGCGGTGCCAGATAAACAAACTCCAGCTCCCACGGGTGGCAGCTGTGCCAAGCCCACCTGACCCCGGCCCAGGCAGCTGGGCTCGTCACCCCAGCTCTACCGCCTGCTGGCGCCAAGGCTGCAAGCAAAACACTCAACTTCTCTGCCTTGGTTTCCTTAATTATTTTTATAATGTGAGTGGGGTGAGTATCCTGGCTTAATGGGTTAAGCGTTCCATATCAGAGTGCTGGATTGAGTTCTCACTGCTCCACTGCTGATCCAGGGTCCTGCTAATGTGCACCCTGGGAGGCAGTGGTCACAGCTCAAGTACTTGGGTCCCCGCCACCCACTTGGGAAACCTGGTTTGCATTCTTGGCTTCCAGCTTCTGTAGGACCCAGTCCCAGGTGTTGGAGAAGGGGCCAGCAAACAGGAGTTCTGTCAATCTCTCTGCCTATCACATAAAATTTATTTTTTTCTAAGTAGGAGTTTATTTTAGTGCAAAAAATTTATTTTAACCATGCAGAGTTTTGGGTTTTTTTTCTTTTATTTTATTTAAAACATTTATTTTATTATTTATTTGAAAGTCAGAGTTACACAGAGAGAGAAGGAGAGGCAGAGAGAGAGAGAGAGAGAGAGAGAGGTCTTCCATCCGCTGGTTCACTCCCCAAATGGCTGCAACGGCTGGGGCTGTGCTGACCTGAAGCCAGGAGCTTCTTTCTGGTCTCCCACATGGGTACAGGGTCCCAAGGACTTGGGCCATCTTCTACTGCTTTCCCAAGCCATAACAGAGAGCTGGATGGGAAGTGGAGCAGCTGGGACTCGAACCGGCGTCCATATGGGATGCTGGCACTGCAGGCGGTGGCTTTACCTGCTATGCCACAGTGCCGGCCCCTTTTCTTTTCTTTTTAAAATATGTAGTTATGTGTTTGAAAGGCAGAGTGACAAAGAGAAAGAGAGAGAGCTTCCATCCACTGGTTCACTCCACAAATGGCCACAACAGACAGGTTTGGGTCAGGTCAAAGCCAGGAGCCAGGAACTCCATCCAGGTCTCTCACATGGGTAGCAGGGGTCTGTGTACTTGGGCCATCTGCTGCTGCCTTCCCGGGAACATTAGCAGGGAGCTGAACCGGAAGTGGAGGAGCTGAGACTCAGTGGTCCAGTGTGGGTCACAGGCGATGGCATGACCCACTGTGTCACAACGCTGGCCTCCAGGTTTTCTTAATAAAGATTTTCCATGTAACGTGGAAAAAAAACTGGCACCAGAATGAGCTCCTCCTGCTAACTGTGTCTTCCACCAGCTTTTCACAGTGGCTCACACTTGGTAGGGAGGCGGGAAGGAGTAGCTGAGTTCCTCGTGAGGAAGGGGTTAGCAGAGGCCGGGGTCATGGGAAACCCTCGCCACGCTGCACTGTGTAGGGTGGAGCTGGACACCTGGGGCAGAGCCCCAGCAACCGGCTTCTCCGCAGAGGGCCAGCCCTTGTGTTTGCTCATGTGTGTTTGCTGTCAGAGGTGAACAAATGCAGGTGAGCACGGGAGCACCGCACAGTTCTTAGTTGACGTCAGGATGGCCTGGGCGGCCGGTTTAGCGGGTGGGGGTGGGGGTGGGGGGGAGCCTGCCGGGCTGCGGGGCTGCGGGGCTGCGGGGCTGCCGGGCTGGGAGCCATCAGCTTTGCTATCTGCCTTGCTGAAGCCCCTTCTCACCAACATCGGCACAGCTCTGTGGACAACACCCAGGCCTCCCTGGTTCCTCCCACGGACAAGCGGCAGCTCAGCCAGGCCTGGATGGAAGACACCTTGGACAGCAAAACTGGTCCTTCCCATCTACCCGTGAGGACTGGCCACACGCCAGCTAGCTGCCAGGGGAGCTGCCTGGCGGGATGGGGCGAGCAGCTGCCTCTGTGCAGGGGCCTTGGAAAGCCAGGAATGTATCACAAAGGCTGGCAACGAAAACACACACACACACACACATCCCAGGGTCCGAGAAAAAACTCAGCTGCTTGCTGCTACATTCGTGATTTTAGATAATTACCAAAACTGAGTCTCCGTTTTTCTCATCTTCAAAATGGGAGCAACTGTTTCTCATTCAGAGAGTGAACATCAATGGGATATGCAAATATGGCGCTGTGTGGCCAGCCCAATGAAGGATCGCCATTAGTAGCTACCGTTGCCCATTACCCAAATACGGCTCTCTCAGAGGGACAGGGAAGTGATGTTGGGAACAGGGAGGGACTTATAACTTTGATTTTTTATGTTTTCTTTCTAGAATGAACACTAAGCACTTTCTGGTTTGTTCATTCGTTCATTCAACAATGACAGAGCTTATACAACCTGGCAGGGTTTTGTTTACCTGGAATGTTCTTATTTACTACTAGAACTGCAACCGTTCTTTAAAAAAAAAAAAGATTTTTTTTTTATTTTGATTCATTTAAAAAGAGCAGTTACAGAGAGAGACAGAGTCCCCAAATGGCCACAACAATGGGCTGGGCCAGGCTGAAGCCAGGAGCCAGGAGCTTCTTCCGGGTCTCATACGGGTGGTAAGGACCCAAGCACTTGACCATCCTCCACTGCTGTCCCAGTGCATTAGCAGGGAACTGGATGGGAAATGGAGCAGCCGGGACTCGAACCAGTGCCCATATGGGATGCCGGCATCACAGGCAGCGGCTTTACCTGCTACGCCACAGCGCTGGCCCCCAGAATGGCAAGGTTCATGAGGGCAGGTGCAGCAGCTGTGGCTGGTGCAAGAACACACTGGGCTCAATGCGTATCTGGAGGCTAAAGTGGAGGTGGAGGCCAGGGGCCCAGATCCCAGACCCTGTCCTGCTTCCCCTCGACCCTGGAGCCCGCACAGATCGTCTTCAGGAGGGTCCCTGGGGAGCAGACCCGGAACTCCTCCCCAGCGGGAAGACACCCACTCAGCAAGGGTGTCTCTGAAGCCTCAGGAGCCGGATCCGAGACTCCTGGGCTGAGCAGCACAGCACAGGACCAAGACAGCAGTGACGATGAAAACAGAACAGCGGGCATTTGGCCCAGGGGCCAAGACACACACAGCCCACACCAGAGCCGGTGCCTGGCTCAGCAGCCCTCCCCAGCTGTTGACTCCAGCTTCCAACTAACGCAGGCCGGGGGGTGGGGGCAGGGGATGGTGGCTCAGGGAGCTGGGTCCCTGCACCCGCACGGGACACCCAGGTTGAATTCCCAGGTCCTGCTCTAGGCTCCAGCTTAGCCCCAGCCCTTGCGGGCATTTGGGGAGTGAACCAGCAGATGGGGGTGCTCGCTTGCTCTCTCTCGCCTCTCGCTCTCTCTCTCTCTCCTTCCCTCTCACATCTCTCTGCCTCTCCAAAAAGCAAACTTTTTAATTAAAAATATCAAAATGTTAAAACAGAGAGAATTGACAGAGGACAGTCCCGGCTCAGTGAGTTCCCAGAGGGAGGGAGATGCCAGCGTAGTCCAACACAGAAGCCCCGTGCCGGGGCCCGGCTTTCTGCGTGTCAGCGCTGCTCCCACACAGACACACCCAGCCTTGCCAAAGCCTCAGCCTCTGTGACCCAAGCTGCCCAGAGACGCAAGCGTGAAGGTGTGATCATTGTATCAAAAAGGCTGGACCAGCCTGAGCGTCCATCAGGGGCAGACAAACAGAATGTGGACCCTGCAGACAGCAGTGTCGCTCACCCTAAGGGCGACAGAGGGATGATAAATGCCACCTTGCGGGTGAGCCCTGGGGACACTGTACTAACAGGGAGGGCACTGTGACCCCACGACACTCAAGGCAGAGGCCCGGAAGTCCACAGGGGCACAGCTGCCTGCTCACAGCCGGGGCAGGGTGACTGGGGGTGGGAAGCAAGGTGATGCCAATGGCCTGAGGTTTCTTCTCTTTTACTAAATTTTTGAATTTATATGAAGGGAGCAGTTTTTGTGTGTCTCATATATACAGCTTGAAGAACATAAAAATATGAATTGCTTCACGAATTTGGGCCTCACCCTCGCACAGGGGCTAGCTAATCTCTGCAGCGTTCCAATTTCAGTATATGTGCTGCCAAAGCAAGCACTCTTCTTTTTTAAGATTTATTTTATTTACTTGAAAGGGAGAGAGGGAGAGCGAGGGAGTGAGATCTATCAGCAGGTTCACTCCCAAAATAATCACAATAGTCAAGGCTGGGCCAGGCCAGAGCCAGGGACTCCACCTGGGTCTCCCATGCGGGCGCAGGGGCCCGAGCACTTGGACCATCTTCCCCTGCTTTCCCAGGCGCATTCGCAGGGAGCTGGATCGGAAGTGGAGCAGCCAGGACCAGAACAGGTGCTTCGGAACCGGATGTGGGCGTCCTCAGCAGCAACTTCACCACAACACTGGCCCCCGAGGTTTCTTTTGGAAGTGACGAAAATGTTCTACTAGGGTTATCATTGGTTTGTATCTGTGACGACTAAAACTACTAAGTGTTATATTTCAAATGGTGAATTGTGTGATACGTGAATTCCATCTCAGAAAGTTATTTTTTCAAAAAAAGAGCAAAGGGGAAGGGGTGGTTGAGATGCAGCATTTGTGTTGGTGATGGAAACAGCCCAGGCCCTGTCTGGTGCGGCCGCCCCCAGCTCAAGCCCTCAGTCTCTGGTCTCTTGCAGGCAACGTGTGGTAGCCCCCAGGGCCCGACTCACAAGATAAACTGAACAGGAAGGTGTAGGGCTGGGTCCCTTCTCCCCTGACAGCTCCCTCTCTGTGTTTTTTCTGGCACAAGAAAACAGTCTGTCTTCTTGTCTAAATAGGAGAAATTTATGGCCGCCTCCCCCTCCCCCTCTCCCTCCCCGGTGGGCCACTAGCAAGCGCCCACTGGGAGGCAGGAGCCCGTGAGCCTGCAGGGATGGGGGGGAGTCAGAGGGCGCGCCCTGCCTGCGGTGGCTCTGGCCCCAGCTCTCCCTTCCCTCTGCACCTTGGACCATCTGGGTGAGGAGGGGGATGGCCGAGAGGTGCAGGCCCCAGGAGGTGGCTCTCCCAGGCAGGCTGCCAGCAGCAGGGGCCCCAGGGCCAGGGCAAGGAAAGGTGGCTTGGCTTTCCCAAAGCATTATGGGAGGAGACCCAGGTTCCCCCCCCCCCCCGCTCCCCCCACCCGGATCTGATAGTTTCTATGCTTCCCAGTTGGCTGAGCCGGCCTGATCCGATGGGAGGACAACTCACCTTGGCTTCAGAAAAATAGACAAAAAAACCAAGTCTGTGAGCTTACGTGGGTCGCGCCCTCTCCCCCAGCCTCATCTACAAAAATGCAGATTGAATCTATCGGGCATCTCCAGGCCAGGGTTAGCGGCGGGGGTCTTCTAAGACAGCTTTCAGTGGTGACCCCCACACGGCCCCTCGGAGGCCTCCTCAGGGTGGGAAAGGGGCTCCGAGGCCCTGGAGTGACTGCAGAGGGAACTCCTCCACGTCTGTCCTGGGAAGGGAGGTTGCCCCATGGCCAGAAGCGTGACCCAGACTCTCCACCCGCGTCCACACCACGGGCCTCAGTTTACCGCTCTGTGAGTTGGAACCACAGGAACAGGTGTCTGTGCCGAGCGTCACGAGGCCTCCACTGGGAGTCTTTGAATAACATCGGCTCCATACATGCCGCTGCTCTAAGGATCCCGTCAGCGGATGTGGTCCTTGCGGTGTGAGAAGGCAAAACTGCTGTGACAAAAAGGCCCCCAGACACGCAGCATATGGAGAGCTGAGTTTATTTCTCACCGGGGAGTCTGGGAGGGGCAGTCCCGCAGGCAGGCAGCCCTGCTCCGCGTCTGCCACAGACCTGGGCTCCTCCACGGGTCGCCTTCCCTCTCCTCGCAGTTTCTCTTCCATCCCAGGGGCCTCCGCCACGCACACCCATCCAGCTCGGGAAACAGCGCAGACAGGAAAACGCACCCGGTGTCCCCAGGCTCATGACACCCACTCTGGCTTCTGGCCACACCAGGTGATGGGCGCAGCAGAGTGGCTGGCGGTGGTCCGGCCTCGTACATGAGCACTGCGGGGGCGCCAGCGGACACAGCAGTCTTGATCCCATGCCTGAGCCATCCTCTTCCTCCCCTCTTCCCAGAGCAAGGGAAAGAGAGACCCCCAGCCCAGAAAGTCCTGCCCTGTCATTCACCCAAGGTCAGTGCCCCTGAGAGTGGCCCGGAAGCCCCCCTGGAGAGAATTTGCTCCTACTCCTCTTCCCCAGTGGACGCAGCAGGCACGGGATGGGGGTGGGGGCGAGAGCAGGGCAGGGCCCAGCAAACCCGACTCCGCCTGTGCCCGGAAATGGGGCCTCAGCCCTCTGAGCTGGAACCAGGAATAAGGAGCCCCCTCGTGCGGGTTGCTGTGAGCATTACATAACAGGTGCACCTGACACATCAGTAAACGGTAACTAATTGTGCTTGGTGCCAGCAAGACAAGCCCAAGGCCAGTGGAATTCAAGTGCCTGCCCTCACTCGGCCTTACGTGTCTCCTCCTCCTCTCCCTCCTCTTCTTTCCTTCAGAGCCTCACCCCCCCACACACACACACACATCTGCACCCTGATCTGTAGTCTCCTCCTCCAGGAAGTCTTCCCTGACTGAAAGTTTCACACTTGGCCTCTTCACACCCCTCTTATCCACTCACACCCCCATCTTGCAGCTGCAGGGCAGTCGGGGGCCCTTCTCGTCCGTCCATCCCAATCCCAGGTCTACACCGCATGGAAGGGTGTGCAAATTTGCCAGGTCAGGCAGATCAAAGCCTGCCACTTTCTGGCTGTATGATTTCTCACTTTATCTCTTTGGCTCGGGCTTCCCCCACCCTCCTGAGTGAGGTCACGTGCCAGGGGCTGATGGAGGGCATTTAGAAAGCGATGCCTCTGCTCTGCCCCCCCCCACTCTTTACCAAAGAGAGATGACAGTAACCCCACCCCCAGGTGGGTGTTTGGGCTGCTAACACCTTTCTTCACAAACCTGTTCTACTCTCACTTCCCGACCCTGGTTCTGCAAAGCTGTTCCCTCTCTGGCTCTCCCCCAACTTTTCCCCGGCCCCCCCAAACCTTTCCATTGTTCCTCCCGGCCCTCCTCCTCACCTCCCTCTGAAGACCAAAGACGTGCATTTCACCAGAGAAGGCCTGGCGGACTCCCCCGCCAGACCCCCACTGTGCCTGGCCGCTCACCTCTGGGGAGGCGGTGCTCAGGCTAAGAGGCGAGAGGCGGGAGTGAGGCCTCTCCTCACTCCCCCACCCGCTCTTCCCATCACTCATCTGGGAATCCGGGGCGAGGCGGGGAGCTAAAGTGCAGAACATTCATTTAATATTAACAAATTGAAATGAATTCTTTGAATGCCAATTAACTCAGAGCGGGCCCCTTATTAATAGTAATTTAGATTCATACTTGGAGGAGCAGAGACGGGGGCTGGGCCGAATGTGCCCGGCGTGTCGGTGTCAGTGCAGCTGGCGGGCTGGGGACCGAGGGCAGCAGCAGCAGCTTTACTTCCTGCCCGATTGGGTTCTGTTTCCGTGAAAAGAACAAAGTCCCCAGAGGCAGCTCTTAGGGGGAAACACGAATTACTCCTATAATTTTATTTTGCGTGGCTGTGATGGATCGGAATCGGTGGAGACCCTACCACATCACTTTCATGAAGACCCGCTTCCCCAAAGCCGAAATGCACTCCAAACTCTACTAAGCCAAACCTCAACTGACCAGAAGTGAGAGTCCCCAGGCCAGCTCCTCAAGCTGCGTTGTTCAAAGCTGGAGATCCACAGGGGGTCCCTCAACCTCTGCCTTGGCCACAGCAGGGTGGGGTGTGGGGTGGCACAGGCACCCTCTCTTCCACAAGCCCACCCCTACAAGGGAAGGGATCCAGTAGGCTGACCAGGCTCTCTGGTCACTCTTGGGGGAGAAATAAGATCCACCTGCGATTTTCTCAGGATTTAGGGAACAGATGGGAAGTTCACATCCAACTTTGTGTGTGGGAGAGTTGCTTAGCACGGAGCAGGGAGGACCACACTTGGTCCCAAACTTAGCAACTGGACAGCAACTCTGCTCTCCCTGCTGTTGCTGGCCTGAGAGACCCGACTGGAGGCGCCCAGAGCTGGAACCTGAGCGTAGGGTCTGGCCCCAGGAGGAAGCTCTCTGCTTCCCGGCGTCCCCCTCGGCTGCAGGGAGGAGGCTGAGCCCTGCGCAAGTTGGGAGTTCTGAGGTGGAAGAGGCAGCAGTGCCTAGGGGCTGGGAAGAATAAGGAAATACACAAAACGGTGAAGTTGATCAATAAAAACTTAAAACAAGATTGCTCTGAATACACCAACATTGAGACGGAATAAAAATGAGGAAAGCATTCCAAGCAGATTGTTCTTTGAAACAGAAGTTGGAATTAATCAAAAGAGACTTTGTTGGCCTGGCTGTTGAGTTTCCCAAACAATAAATTCATTTACAAAACAAAAAGAGGATTCAGTGAAAAGAAGAAGAAGAAGAAAGAAAGAAAAAAAAAAACCACAAAACCCTGGTCCACAGAGAGAGAAAAAAATTTCTGGAGATTCGTTAACAGCTGAAAAACTAGTGAGGGAGGGGAAAAGTGGAAAACTTGAAATCTGTGCAGGGATTCTTTGTTAAAAACAAACAAACAAAAACCCAAAACGCTGGAGTCTCAGGACGAGTGGGGGAAGGAGATGTGCAGGACGGGATTAGAGAATTACACCTTGGGCGACGCAAGGTGCGTCCAGGGAAACTGCCTGCGAGGGATGCTCCTCCCCGCGAGCAGCAGAGCTCCCAAGAGCAAAGTACCACTCACCTCTGTGAATTCGTCCGAACTTCACTTCCCCTCAAAGCGCAAGCAGGTTATGCAAGAAAAAATACTAGACGACATTTTTTCCTTTCTCCTAAAGCAACAACAGAATCGGATTTGAATCGTGTAAAGGGGCTGCAAGGGAGGCATCGGTACAGGTGCCTGGAAGGGGTCGGGGGCGGCGAGGGTGGGAGGGCCCGCTTACCTGGCTCTCCCGCAGCCGCCGGACACGAGCGCGTCCCGGCTCCTGCAGGTGCCCTCGCATTAGGGCAAAGAGGGGTCGGCATTCCAATGCCCCCAGACGACGGGCGGAAGGGCTAGGGGTGCCCATCTCCCCACCTCCACCCGCCGGCCTCCCTCCCTGCGGTACCCAGGCCTGGAGAACCACTGAAAGTTACAAATTGCTTCCATTATTAGCTCATCCCGGGCGGCCTGGTCATTGGCCAGCCCCTGACCACGTGGTCCCTCGTACCAATCGATTGAATTTCTAGTTGCAATTCTCTGTCCCTTGGCTCTGGGGAGGGAAGGGGAGGGGTGAGGATGGCGCGGGGGCTGGGGAGGGGCTAAGGGGTGGGGGCCTCTGTACCCCCTCCCCCCTCCGGTGAGTGAGGGCCTTGAGCGCCGCCCCAGAAGGAGTCGAGGGAATGTTGCGGACTGGGGTACACCCGGGAGGGCAGAAACTGGAGGAAGCCAGAGACGTCGCCAGGGACCCAGGGCCCTCTCCTTCAGCTCCCCGGCCCGCCCAGCCCGCTGGCCACGCCCTCCGCAGCGCCCACCCTGTCCGTCCCGGGCCAGCAGCCTGACCCCCTGCCCCGCGCGCGCCGGCGCTGTCGCCCGGGATCACTCGCTGCTCCTGCCCGCACTCCGGGGACGGCGCCCCCGGGCCCACTCGGAACCCGGCGCCTGCGCCCTCAGGGGGCCCCAACCCGCCCCTTTCCCCGAGGGCTGAGTTCGCGCCACTCCTGGAGTCCTTTGCGAATAGAACAAACTTTTGAGTGGATGAAAATCAAGAGGAGTCCGCCCCGAGCAGGTGAGCCGGGGCCGGGAGGGGCGCCCTCAGCCTGAATGCCGTCTGCCGCCCCCAGCCTCTGCCTCTCCTTCGTGCTCCGAGCTCAGCCTGCTGGCTGCCGGCGGAGTCTAAGGGGGCGTTGGTCGGAGGCACCGCGTCCGAGCAGCTTTCCTCGCCGGAGTGTGGGGACTAGGTGGCCGCTGGTAGGGGAGGGGGACCGGTTACGTCTGGAACTGGGGTATCAAGGAAGGCTTAGGGGCCGAGACATCCGAAGAGCCCGGGAGAGGTTGCTCCCCCCCCCCCCCCCCCCCGCAGACAACTTGCGGGAACTTGAGAAAAGTTCCGGCGGGGCGATGGGGAGGGGCCAGGGGTTGGAGGTGAGAGAGGGGCGCCTGCTTCCCGTGCAGAATGGAAGGGCGCGTTCGCTCGGGACCCCGTCCCACTGATCACCCTCGGAGGAAAACCCGGCCGAGTCCCAAACCGGCTCACCCAGCAAGCCCTCGGAGACGCTTGGAGATCCCCCGAGGGTCTCGTGGATGCCGGCAGAAAGAGGGTGGCGGGTGGGGGTGGGGTGGAGGCGCAGAGCCTCCGTCGGAGACCGCCCCCCCACCCCCTGCCATCCTGGGACCTTTGGGTTAGGAATGACATCAGGAAGGGAACTGCTTCCAAGTCTCTCTCTCTTTAAATTCAGTTTTGACTTGGAGTCCAAGGGGTGCCCCCCTCCACGCCCCTGCCCCAGCACAATCTTCTTACGTTCTCCGGATCAAAGGAGAGCAGGAAAAGAGCCCCCTACTCCCCTCACCCCATATCCCCGATGGAAGTCGTGGGAGGCTCTTGGAAAGGAAGTCGGGAGCAGAGGGTGGGTTCAGGGGGCGAGGCTGAACTCCGGGGCCTGAGGCCGGGGCAAGGGGAAGAACAGGTGCAGGAGCCACCAGAGGGGTGGCCTGGGGGAGCTGGGGGGGGGGGGCGCCAAGGCCGCTGCAGGTGCACCCACAGGAGCTCAGGGCTTCCCTGGATGGGGGAGGGGGTCCTATCTGGAGCCATTGACCATGGCGGAAGCCTCGGCTGAGTCCAAAGTCTCCAGTTCGGGCCCCTCCCTAAGGCACCCCAGACTGAAGGAGCTGCGTAGGCAGCAGGCCGTGTATTTGGACCGCTTGGTGGACGGGGCTGGGCGGGGCTGTGGATCCCAGGAGAGAAAATACCCAAGTGGAGTGGGTGGTCGTTGTCAGGTCCATACCTCCAGGGGCTGCTTGGCCCTCCGTGGTCAGGGGCAGCGGGTCCACCCGGGGCCTTTGTTTTCGCTGCTGGCGAGGTTTTTCTGCCCGTGGTCCAGCGGCTGCACCTGCGCCTTGGTGAGCCGGGGAATGGGGCCCATCTCGCTGAGAGCTTTAGCACGACTGCAGGCGGCACTGCCTGGAACCGGTCAGGCGTGGTCCAAATTCCAGCCTTGAATTAAGGCCATTGATATTGCAAACAATCTGGGTCTTTTTCTTCCTTCCCATCCCTGGCTCCAAAGATTTGGCCCAAGGCCTCATCCATTCCCAGTCCCAAAACCACCGCTGGGGGTGGCCTGAGCTCTGGAGGCTCGGAGCCGGCACCAGTTACTAGGCAACTGGTCCTTTGCCTTGCCGTATCTGGTCCTTTTTGCTCTGCCTCCCCAATACCCACCCCACACCCTCCACACCCGCATATCCCACAGATCTCTGGAGTTGGCTCCCTTTTCTTTCCTTCTTAGGGTTGATGGAGCGACGCCTTTGGCCAGGCTGCACCGAGCCTGTAGTAGGGAACCTGTGGATCCTGCCCTGACAGCCCAGCCAGGGGAAACAGCCCCATTCCTGGGCCCTGAGACAGCGTCCCAAGTTGCGGGGCGGGGGGGGGGGGGGAATTGAGAACAAATGGCATGAGCAGGGTGGCTGGGCTGACACAGGCCAAACCCCCCCTTCGGAGGGGGGGAGTCCTGTTGCCGAGAGGGTTCAGAACAAAGGAGGCCAGAAAAATGGCAGAAAGGGGAGACCTTGGGGGCGAGGACAACACTGAGAAACCCCAGGGCTGGAGGCAGGGAGAGACCCGAGCAAGGTGCAGGCCTATTGATGCGGGCAGAAGGAATTCCATTTTTAAATGAAGGGGAAAAGCTGGAATAAGAAAAGGGAAGAGAGGGAAGAGAGAGCCCACGAAAAGGGGGTGACAGAGGAGAGGAACTGGAAGGGAGGAGGAGAGGAGGAGAAACGATGAAAGTAAAGGACAGAAAAGCAAGAGGTAAATGCAGACTGGCAGAGAGAAGAGAAAGAAGCAGGGATGGCAAGGAGCACGAGGGAGCAGGGGCGGGCTGGCGCTGAGTTCCAGAGGCCCAGTGGGACCCGCCCCTGGCCACCAAACCCTCACTGTCACCCATCTCCAGGGCCACAGCACAGCCCTGGGCCCTGGACTCACAGCCTTGAGGCTGTGGGGCAGGCAGGCTCAGATCTGGGTCCAAAATGGGCATACAACACAGAGGCGGCCTGGAGGGAGGGGTCGTAGCAGGTGGCAGCCTAGTGGCTTCTCTCCCTGGCTCGATCCCTTCCTTCGAAGTCCCTAGGGCCTCCATGCTGGCTGAGGCTGTGGAGGGACTGGGCCACCTTCTCTGAGCTCTATGGTGCTCTCTGGCTGTGTGACCTTGGGTCTCAGTTGCATCACCTGTCTCCTGAGCCCTTGGCTGGGGAGAACTTCTCTGCAGTTTTGATTAGCATGCCTGCGTGGGTGCAGGGGAGCTAGGCCCACCCACTGAGGGGAGTGTCATTTTTTTTTTTCTCACGGAGGAAAACAAAAAATCTTCCTGGGTGGCTGTCCTCCCCATCCTGCCCTCAGAGAACCACCCTCCAGGCCCAGGGGTTCCTCTGTGCCCGAAGGGGTGGAACTCACCTGTAAGAAGCCTGGCACTGGGGTTTGCAAGCCCTGGAGGAGGCAGAGACAGGATCACACCTGAGCTTCACTGGACTCACGTGGAGACTGGCTGGGAAGGGGACTCCAGCCTCTGCCTGCACAGGGGGCTGGGCCTGACACACTGCTCATGGGCCCCCCTTCCTCTTCCTTCCTTTCTGGCCCCCTCACTCCCCCCACCCTGGCTCTGATGTCATCTAGTCCCACTGGGGCTCTTGTGTTATTTCAAGAGCTCACTCCTAAGTGGATGTAAATCAAATACTGGAATTAACACAGACGAGGTGCAAACTGGGGCACGGGCTTTGCCACCAGACACTTATTTTCTGTACCAGCTGAGAGGGTGATCTGCACATCCCCTCGGCTCACCCCAGCAAGACAAGTCTTCCTTCCTGCTACCTGGGGAGGGGGTGATGCTGGTGGTCCCAAGGCTGGAGGGGTTGTCAGTGACTTCAGGTCGGAGCCTCAGCCCCTAAATAAGCAGAGCGTTCTCCCCCCTGCATCTCAGGGCCTCTTTCCCTTGGGTGAGAAGCTGGCTTTTGCTTTCTCTCCATAGAGCATCCTTGATCAGCCGGGCCCGTGTCATCCACTCTGCTCAGCCGGGAAGGGAAGCGACACGTCCCAGCCTTGGTGGAGGAAGGCAGTGTGCCCAGAACAGCTGCTCGTCCCAGACTGGCACTGCAGGGCAGGAGGGGACCCAGCTCGCTGCACGGGCTCCAGACTCTCGGCGGGCGGAGCCAACAGCTGCAGCTGCATCCCGGAGCCTGATCCTGGAATCGGCATCTGCCTTTGGGCTCTCCTTGCTGCCCCAGCCTCGGCGCCACGCACTGGGGAGGGGTGGGGCCGGAGAGAATAATGGTGCTCCCCTTGTCCCTGAGCCTTCTCTGGGAAGCTGCTGGGACTTAGAAACTGCAGATTGAGCCCTGGCCCGTGGCAACTTGAAGCAAAGTGAGATTCTCTCCTGGGCAGAAGGAAAGGCAGGTGCTGGCTCCTACCTGCCTGCTCCCTGGCTCCTTGATCCATTTTGAGGGCACGTGGAGGTCAACAGCCTGCTCCGGCGGCGGATGGGAAATTAGCATCTCTGACTGCACCAAAGGCTGGGATTTTGCACATCAAAGAAGAGGAGGCCTGCACCCAGGCCCACACCTGTTCTGCAGCCCCTCAAACCCAGCGGTGATGCAAAGGTTTGCAGAGGCAGAAGAACAGAAGGGGAAATGGGCAATTTGCAATTTGCTCCGTGCGGAAGGCAGTCGCTGCAGCTGCTCATTTGGCTAACATTTATTTAGCACCTACTGTGTACAGAGCACACTATCTCTACCTCAGTTTGCCAGGAGTATCAAAAAGATTGCTGCCCCTGGGAACTTTCAATGTGTGGTGGACAGAAAATAGATAAACCAGTGGGGGAAGAGTCTGGTTTGCATTCAGCTCATTTGCACTGCGGCTTTCCACGAGCTGGGTCTCCCAGCTCCAGGCATTGAGAAGCAGGACTGCCCCGGGGGCCCACTGGCTTCCCCCTCAGCAAAAATAGGAGAATGGGACCAAGAGATGCCATGAGGAGGGTGGCAGCCAGGAAGGCCCGGGCGGCGGGGGGGGGGGGGGGGGGGGGGGGTGGGAGGGCGACCCCTGCAGTCCTCTCCCGTCTTGGTGTGCAGGTGAACAGGTCTCGTACCTGAAGGTGACAGCAAGGGTGTGTGTGTGCACGAGAGCCGAGGGCGGCCGATAAGTGTGCCTGCACCAGGCTCGGGTCTCCTGGACCCAGAAGCCTGCACACAGGTGCAGGTGCGTGGGGGCGGGTGGAGGGGGATGTGGGTTCGCACGGAGCTGAACGTATCTCTGCATACATGACACACGGGCATGTGTGCATGTGTGTGTGCCCTCTGAATGATTATAAAATTACACTGACCCTCAGAGAAAATCCATACGGGCCCCGGCCTCTCTCCACCGACCTCGCAACCTCTGGGGTGCCTGAGGAAAGAGCTGACCCGGTCACTGCCTCCCCCTAGTCAATGAGTCTTTCTCCATTAGCATAAAACATGAATCTGCTGGCAGCTTGACAAATTGTAACTAGCAGCCAGAGTTGTGCCAACTGGCTGGCTTGGGCAATGTCTATTTATCATTGAAAATGGTAAATCATAAGAATCCAGATGACTTAATTATTCAAATCCACCCAGGGCCCAGAGAAGCTGCAGTCCCGTCAATCTTAGACCTGGGTGCAGGGACAGGGCAGGGGGGAGACGCTGCCGGGCCTGGGAGCTGGGAGAAGCAGCGATCGGTTCTTTCTTTGCAACCCCTTCCCCTCTCCTGCCCACCTCTCCAAGCAGAAGCCTGGGCAGCTGTGCTGGCTGCTGGCTCCCCTGAGCCCTCCAGTGCCCACCCTGGCTGCCCGCCACCCCACTCCCCAGGCACACAGTCTGTCCCTCCAGGCCCCTTTGTTCCCAGGATCCCCAGGCACACACACAGCACCGCCCCCTCCACCCCAGAACACACCCAGTGCTCGGAGCCGTGGGGGTCTGGATTCACTCCTTCTGGCCTGGAACATCAGAGGAGGACCCTGGGCTTGCTCCTCAATGACCCCTTCTGTGCATCCCTAAATACCCACCTTCCTGCCCACCTGGGGCAGGCCTGGGGCCTGACGAGGCCCATCCTCCCAAAGGCGCACTTGCGCCCAGCACGGAACCCAGGGAAGGTGCAAGGTGATCACCAGAACTAGGAGAGAGCTGCTTGCAGGGCGAAGCCCAGGCCTGGACTCTGCACACTGAGCTTTCAGGGGGGACCAGGGATCCTTGCGTGCCTCCCAACCCATTAAATGGAATGCCTGCTTCCGGGTCCTGTGGGCCTGGCCCCCAAGGGAGGTTCCTGCTCTCCCAGCCCCACGCTGTGGGGGTGGGGCTCCCTGCTTACTCCATTCCCTGTGGCTTTGATACTAGCGGAGGCTGGGGATCAGGGAGGGTCACAGGGCCCGTCCGTGGATGGCTTCCAGCTTATTAATATCTTATTTGAGAGACAGAATTCCCATATACTGGTTCACGCACAACAGCTGAGGCTGGGCTGGGCTAGGCTGAAGCCAGGAACCTGTAACTCAACCCAGGTCTCCCACGGAGCCGGGCAGGAACCCAGAGCATCAGCCCTGGCTCTCAGGGTTTGTGAGTTAGCAGGGAGCTGAGTCAGGAGCTGAAGCCCGAGGCATCCAACCCTGGCACCGTGCGTGATGCGTGGGTGCATTAGGTGCTAAGCCAGACAGCCACGGCTTACTTAATTCTTTCAGCGGGCTGAGCCTACATCCATGCCTGCAGGTGCTGGTGGGTTGGGCTGGGAGTGTGACTCCTGTGTGTGCGCGCGCGTTTATGCCTGCGCGGGCTCTCAGGCACTCCCAGCAGAGCCCAAGTGCTGAAACAACGAGTGACAATGTCCCCACCAACAGGACACCTGAGGAAACAGCCCTGTCGGTCCCCTCCATTTCTAGGCCTGGGAGCTGCATTGCTCAGTAAACCCTACTGCTGCCTGACCGTGGAACTCTAAGGAAGGAGCCACCCATTCCCAAGGCTCAGAGTGCGGAAGTGCTGCCTGGAGTCTAGCCGCCTCTTCCTGCTTCTGGGAGGTCGGGGATCCTCCTCTCCTTCGTGAGACCCTCCCCATACTCCAACCGCAGACACAGCCACCTCCTCCACGCCTCCTCCCTTCCCACCTTTCTGAGCCGGTTGCTATTTGCCTGTGAGGGGTGAACACTGGGTGAAGGCAGGAGCTGAATAGGGAGACACGGATGGGCGGGAGCTTTCTCTCCTTTTTTTTTTTCCAGCCGGCTCAGTGCCGGTCCCCCTGCCCCCAATCCCAGCTCCTGAAAACAGGTGAGGGACAGAGCCCAGCCCTGGCCTCTCTCTGCCCTTCTAACTCAAACAGCGTCCTAATCCCTTGGCTAGAGAGTAAACAGTCTCCAAGCACGGCCAGGATCGAACACAGGGAGGCTGCTAATGGATCTCGGGCCCCACCCCCACCCTGTGTTACTAATTAGCCCAGAGCTTGGGAGAAGGCTCTGGAGCAAGCTCTGGAGAGCATCTCTGGGGCTGGACAAGCTGAGGGCGACAGGCGAAGTGATACCCGCCCCTCCCCGCTGGGGAGACCAGTTCAAAGGCAGGCAGGGCTTTTTCTCTGGGCCCCTCCGCGAGCCCCGGTCTCCCCTCGGCTGTTCGCAGCTGGAGGACAAGAGGGCGAGTGGAATCGGCTCTGGAAATCGAATGAACCAATAAAAAATTAATTGTCTAATTAAAACCGTGAGTAAGCCTCTTGCTGGAGTTAGGCTTGGAGTCATCAGGGCCGTAAGGGTGGGAAAATGAGTCTCAACCCCTAATAAACCCTAGTTTGCAGCCTTTTCCATCGGAGAAGGAGTGCTGAGCCTTCTGCCTGGGCCAGAAGGGAGCACCCAGGGCTGGGGGCGCCTAGTCCGCCCTCGCCCTCAGCCCCGCCCCAGCCGCGCAGCTCACACACCTGCCTCCAGCCCAGAAACACAGACGCCACCATGCACCACGCGGGCCGGGCGGTGTTCCTGAGACAGAGCCTCAAGATTTCCTTAGGAAAGGAAAGTTCCAGAAACTTCCTCCACGGGCAAGTGCTTCACCAGGGCTCACTAATAATCACTATGAACAAGTTTGCATGTGAAGTGTTTTTTTTTTTTTTAAGATTAATTTATTTATTTGAAAGATTTACACAGAGAGAGGAGAGGCAGAGAGAGAGGTCTTCCATCCACTGGTTCACTCCCCAGTTGGCCACAATGGCTGGAGTTGTGCCAATCCAAAGCCAGAAGCCAGGAGCTTCTTCCAGGTATCCTACGTGGGTGCAGGGGCCCGAGGACTTGGGCCATCTTCCACTGCCCTCCCAGGCCATAGCAGAGAGCTGGATCAGAAGTGGAGCAGCCGGGTCTTGAACTGGCGCCCATATGGGATGCTGGCACTGCAGGCAGTGTCTTTACCCACTACGCCACAGCGCCTGCCCCTGAAGGTTGATTTTGACCTCACTCAGTCTGCTTTTGTGAAAAATATAGTTTTACGTAATTTATGAGCTGTCAGATTCCTGCCGTTAGACATCACACTGATTTTGGTAGGGAAATGATCCAGAAACTGAGCTAAGAAATTAATTCTAACCCCACCCCCAAAATGGGCCGTGGACACTACTTCCAGTTTCCCAGAACCTCTGGAAGTATGAGCACAGAGCAGCTGGTCCCGAGTGGAGAGCAGAGCACGTGACTACTGGAAAGGCAGAGAGACAGCCATCTCCCACCGGCTGCTTCACTCCCCAGACGTCCACAGCAGCAGAGGCTGGACCAGGCCAAAGCCAGGAGCCAGCAGCTCCATCAGGGACCCATCGACCTGAGCCATCACTTGCTGCCTCCCAGTGTGTGCATTAGCGGGAAGCTGGATTGAGAAGCCGAGCCAGGACGTAAACCTTGGCACGTGGCTATGACACGTGGATGTCCCAGGCAGTTCCTTAAACGGCCACACCAGGCACCCACCCCTGGGCAACCCAGACGGAGACCCAAAGCTTCTCCCTGGACAACTGAGCCATTTCTTCACTTGGGTCTGCCTGTGTAGACACTGCCTCCACACCCCTCCCCACTCCCTCCCTCTGCAAAAGTGAATGTGTTTTGTATCATCAAAGTCGTTAACTCACGCTAGCCAGAGGAGGCGATGTGCACACAGCTTCAACATCACATTACACTATTTTACTACAGACTGCAACACGGGATCTGTTTCTCGGATGACCTTCTTTAAACAAACATGACAGAACAAGCAAGACTTGTCTTTCAGCACAGCCACCGTAAGAGAACTCTTTCTTATTCTGGGTGCACCTTTATTGATTAAAACAGCTCTGCACGGGTTGCAGGTAAAGCCATCGCCTGCAGTGCCTGCATCCCATGTGGGCGCTGGTTCGAGTCCCAGCTGCTCCACTACCGATCCAGCTCTCTGCTGTGGCCTGGGAAAGCAGTGGAGTCCTTGGGCCCCTGCACCTGTGTGGGAGACCCAGAAGAAGCTCCAGCCTCCTGGCTTCAGATCAGCCCAGCTCCGGCTGTTGTGGTTGTGGCCATTTGGGGAATGAACAAGCAGATGGAAAACATTCTCTCTCTCTCTTTCTCAAGCAAATTAATCTTAAATATTTATTTAATTTTACTTTGGGGATGGCTGTTGTAGTGTAACAGGTTAAGCTGCCACCTGGGACGCTCGTAGCCCATATTCGGAGTGCTGGTTCGAGTCCTGCACTTGCTCCTCTGATCCAGCTTCTTCTTGGTGCATCCTAGAGGCGGTAGATGGATGGTCTAAGTACTTGAGCTGTTGCCACTCACATGAGAAGCCTGGTGGAGCTCCTGGCTCCTGTCTCCCACCTGGCACAGTCCTGGATGTCACAGGCATTTGGGGAG